ATGTAATGCCCTCACGGGCCCTTAAGGTTCAATAAATGAAATGAAATGAAACACCACCCCGGGAGTCTCGACGGATAGTACCCAACATGAGATGATGAGCGTTAAAATCACCCAAAATTAGAAACGGTTGAGGAAGCTGTCCTACAAGTCCCTGCAGCTTTTGAAGATTCAAAGGAATATTTGGTGGCAAGTATAAAGAAACAGGCGTTACAAGGCGGTTCATGAGGAGACGCACTGCAACAGCCTCCAGAGGTGTGCGGAGTGAAACTTGAGAGCGACTCCACTCTGCACAACTACTGCAACACCACCAGAAGGAGTGGAAGCGGGACGGACTTTCCTGAAAACCTGATGGCGCCTTAAAATGTTAAAAGAATTAGAGTGAAGATGGGTTTCTTGCAAGGCAAGAGCGATGGGTCGAAGCTCATCCATGAAATGATTGACATCATCAATATTTCTTAAAATACCGTGACAGTTCCATTGCATAAAATGTAACTTTGTGATCTATTAAAAAGTGTGTAAATATGTAAATATAAGGAGATAAAGCCTGGCAAAATAAATAAAACTATGGAGAGCCAACTCGAGCTAAGTGGAAGATGTGATCACAATACAACAGCTATCGGGGCTATCACTTGGGCGCTACTACAGGTTACTTCTTTTTAGATTTACGAGAAGCTGTCTCCCATTCCATACCATCCTGGTGGGAACCAGGAGTAGACTGACTGTCAGCATCAGCTGGTATCTCCATGTCCAGGGAAGTGTCTGATGGATGGAGCATGAAAGAGCTGGTCCGGCCTTGCTCGCACGGGGGGAAACACCGGCCACGACCGGATGGAGGAGTGGCGGACGAACTGGGCGAGGGGTCACCCAAGCTTGTCTTGACACCTCCTTTCACAGGTTCCCTAGGGTACCATGCTGCTCCTTCGGTAGTGGGACCCTCTCCATCGAGCAGGAGCGAGAAGCTCGCTCCTACCTATGAGGGGACCTAAGAGAGGGGGCAGGCGCCGCTGCTGCCGGCCTGTCCTTGGATGGAGGGGCAGCCTGTATGCTACTACCAGGGAAGGGAAGCTGCTGCTGCCCTGGTCGGGGAGCCGGGCCCTAAGGTCGGCCGCCAAGATCTCGGGAGAGACCTGAGTGGCCCTTGACTCCGAGCGCGGTGCAGGGCCCCTGCGCACCGCCTCAGCAAAACTACCCATTGACAAAAAGGAAAAACGCTTTTTTGCTTCTATGTATGTGATATCTTCTATGACTTTAGGGGCAAGAATATCTTTTTTTTCCTGAAAGAAAGGACAGCTGCGGTAGTAAGCGGGGTGTGGTCCACCGCAGTTAGCGCAATCGGCCATGGCCTCGGAAATGTCAGAGACGTGGCCTTGACTTCCACAGTTTGCACATGTCTCCCTTCAGCGACAGCTGCGTAATCCGTGGCCAAAACGCTGACAACGGAAGCATCGCTGTGGGTTGGGGAAATAAGAGCGGATCCGGCAATTAAGGTACCCTGCTTTAATTGTCTTGGTAGAGTGTGTCTCTCGAAAGTCAAAATAACATGCTTCGAGGGAATTTCTTCACCATTCTTTTTAAACATTATTCGTTTGACGGCGACGATACCAGAGCCTTCGAGGCCCTCAAGAAGTTCCTCCTCACTGGTATGAAGGAAGTCATCCTCAGAGAGGACACCACGAATGGTGTTAAGTGTACGGTGAGGGCTCACCGACACTTTCAAGTCAACAATGTTGGTAATCTTAGAGAGTGCTTCACTTTATTTTTTTGTTTCTACCTCCACAAGGAGGTCTCCACAGTGGAGCTTCTTAGCCTTATAGGAGAACCCTACAAGGTGCTCGAGGACTTTAGCTACAACAAAGGGTGACAGCTTTGCAACTGGTTTCTGTTCATCCAGCGAATGAATGACAAAAAACTTTGTAAAGGCTTCTTCTTTAGATTCTTTTTCAATGGTCTTGGGTTCAAGACAGCGCCTTTTAAAGGCTTGCCCTGAACGGGGTTTGGAGGGGTGGGGCGCCATCGGAGGGCAAAGAGTGTTCAGAATCCGCGGTGCACCGCCCACCACCGAGCCCAACAAGGGGTTAGGTAACGCACCATAACAAGAAGGGCTTGGCTGAAGACGTTACGCTAACAGTGCTGCCGGGAAACTATAACTAGGTGTGCATCTGGACGAGGGTATCTGTCAGCACCCTAGGTTAGCCCTTGCCGCCAAAGAAGGTGAAATAAGAAGGAAGAGGAGAAGAAGAAGAAAGGTACAGAAAGGAGAGGTGGAGAAAGGCGACTGAGTGAATTATCCTGGTCGGGCCAAGCCAGGACACCCGTCTACGAGAAGCAGGGGCCGAAGTGGTGTATTGCCTCGCCCGGGGGGCCCTGAAGGGTCCAAACATACCCCGGGCTTAGCTCAACCACCAGGGTCCCCTTTTCCCCGGACACGGGTACGCCACGCACAGCCAGACGTGGGTGGGCGAACCCACATGGCTCGGGGTTCGTAGTGACGCCACTCACCAAGTACCTACAAAAGTAGGTGCCCCCTTGCGCGCGAGTATGGTGGCCCACGTGGCTGGGGTCCGTGGTGACGCTACTCACCAAACACCTAGCACCTAAGGTGCAGGCGCCCCCTGCGGGGCTCGGGGTCCGTGGAGACGCCACTCTCCAAACACCTGCTTTCACAGGTGCCCCCCGCGGGGTTCAGACTATCTTAGATGCGCCAGCTCATGCCAATGGAAGGCCATCGAGGGGGTGCTGACACACGTGCCATATTCACGCCTTATGAAAAGCGAAACACAAAAAAATAGGATAAACATTTCTAAAACCCAAGATGGAGGCTACAAAGAGGAGACAAACACAATACGTCTCTCCGTCTTGGGTTTTGGAAATGTTTAACTTTAACCAGCGCACCTGCCTTATTACTTTATTTTTAAACAATAGGTCTCTAATATCTTTTTTGTTTTCTGGCCTTGGTGTACGCGTCAAGATAATAAGTTGTGTTTTCAAACGTGAGAACGTACTAGAGCTGACACAATTGAAAGTCGCATCACCCGAAGGCACGCTGTTAGATGGGTTCAAGTGAGGGGACCGTGGCCGGCTCTCCGTAAGAGCGCTCGACCAGATAAAGTTACCTTCTTCCAGATGTTTCCTTCCCCATTCCTTAGAGGGCACAGCAAGAAGTTTCACCATGGGCCCTATGCGACCGGACAATCCACCCAACTGGGTGCGTTTTTTGTTTAGAGATTTCCTTTTGGTCACCGTGCCGCGTAACGCTGGAAAAACATTCCTGTGCTAGATCGCATACTCTTTCATTCTAAAAGCACTTAGAGAGCTTGAAAGGCCTTAAAGTCCACTGCTTGAAGGGAAACGCCGAAGGTTTGAGGCGTGCTTCAAGGAACAAAAACAGATGCGTCTTTGGGGGTTATACTATAATTTCCAGATAGCACTGCTATTTCGCAGGCATTTTGAATGGTCGGCTTTTTGCTAGAAAATACTTCCCGCTGGTCACAACAATTCAATATAATATCGTTTTTTTTTTTTTTTTTTTTTTTGCTTTGCCACCTATGTCGTGTCTCATTGACAGGTTCCATTTTTGTCGTGGGATAGCTACCACCGAACAGCCTCTCATTTTAGGTGGACAATTGCAATGCACGTCTCGATTCACGAGCAGGAGCACAAAGCTTTAATTGGTAGTGAACACATCTCTTTCTTTTTTTTGCCAAGAACAGTTATTTTATTCTTGACGTCACCGCCTACCCTAGCTGCACTAGGCTGAGGGGAAAGGGTATCACGTCCGTAAAGTGCCCAATTCTCTTCCTGCTCACTGCTATCAGTCTTAAATCGAGAGCTCAGGGGTTCAGCTTTGTTGTGCGTCAAACATTTTATTTTGAGTTTCACAGTTTAGCTTGAACTGCTAACATATTTCTGCGTTACCGCCAGTAACACCGGCATGGTCCGACATTACTGAGGATGTGACACAAGGGCTTTGCTCCGAATTGTAGTGGCAGTTTCCGGAGCTGCAGAAGGAAAGGAACATTGTTCAGTGTTCCTTTCGATCCTGGAACCTTGGGGAATATGGGTACGAGCCATTCTTCGCAAAGACCGACCACTGACGTCGAAAGACATCGAGGGCGCAAATCACTTCACGAAGGGTGTATATAGTATTGAGAAGCAAGTATAATGTATAATTTAGAAATGAAGTGCTGGTCGACATTCTGAATCAATGATTGTTTCAGAAAGCAGCTAAATAAAGTACTTGTTTCAGAAAGCAAAGCTCCTAATATGTTCAAATATTGTAATATTCTTTTGCCTCCTTGGTTTTATCATTATCTAGTTCGCACTTTTCTTTACCGCAAAAAAAAAATGATCGCTCATATGGTGCGTAACTAAAGTTCAATTTTGATTTTACAGATGCTCACTGATCTAGATATAGCATCGCGAGAAAAAAATAAAACAGAACATTTTTTATGTGTTTGTTCAGCCACAATTACTGTAAATCTTTATGCGCCAACACTGTTGCGTCGCTCGCATTCATTCCCTGCCATGATTAACCACTCATCGATGGTCCGACTTGTACCAAAATAACTAGACGATACATTAGAAACTCCCTCTTCAATACCGTACCCAGAATGGTACCCTAGTCACGCAGGCACCTGAGAGCGCCGTTCACGCAGCGAGAACCGATGGCCATGTTCGTGCCAGAACAGCCCAAACAACCCGGTCCAAAGCTCACAGCGCCATCTAATCGCGACTCCGACAAGCCTAGCGCGCGGGAGCACATTATCTGGTCGCGGCGAAGAGCCGGGTCTCCCCCCTTAAAAAGTCTTTCTGACACTCAACCCAAAGTCGAAGCACTCACTTACCCCCGAATTCATAGATGTGACTTCAACTGAAGCCGAACTTCGACTTGCTCAAGTCCGCCTCAACACCAAGTTCGACTTGAAAACGCCCAAGCTGGCTTTTACGTTTCATAGACGCTCCCGCGAACTTCCTTCGTCAAGTCCCGTTCAAGTCGCGAGCGCTCGCGCTGCTCCCCGCCTGGGAGCGAGATTAGGTTGCAATTTTTCTTTTAAAAAGAGTTTCACACGTCAAAAAGAAGTTGCTTCTTAAAATTTTCTTCATAGCATGTCTTTACGAAACGCAAATCGTGAAAGATGCTGTTTCGCAGGTTTCGAAACTAACCTTGTACGCGTTTTCTAGACAAATGCGCTTTTCCGTCTAGCAACGTTGGCTCAATTTGAGCGATGGCTCCTGGCCTCTTTCTTTTCGTTTCGCTCGTTGGCGTCCCTCGCTTGTGGACATATTTGGCGTCATGTGAGTTTCGACGTCTCCTTCATTGTGAAAACTCGGGAGAAGCTTGAACTAGGATTCACTGAAGACAAGAAACGAATGCTTATCTGGGTTCAACAAGAATGAAAAGGTATTCGAGTGAGTGGCCGACTCCGGTGCCGTGTCCACACGCCTCAACGAGAAAGTTTAAAATCCTCATAGGATCTTCCTACGGGACTCTAGTAACGAAAAAGCGCTTGTAACTCCCGATGCGGAAGGAAAATGACTACGAATTGAAGCGGTGCTCAAAGCAGGTAAGTGCTTTTACAACATTTCCTTAATGCAAACTATGCGGCGTAGTACTCGGATATGTAAACTGGAAACTATGCGGCCTGGCCTAAGCGCTCTTTCGGCTGTTTTAAACGTTATTTTGTGTTGCTTACATGTTTCTACAAAGGCTTGTTTTAATGGGCGCCACTACATAAAGCGTTGGGCGCGGTGCCTGTGCTTTCGGTGATCGAAACCAGGAAGTAGCTACCGGGCATCATAGTTTTCGCAGCTATGTTTACCTCGTCGGCCTTTCGCGGGCAAAAACTCAGGCCCGGAACATGTTGTTCATGAGGCGGTGGAACTGTCACTGATGTTTGGTGCGCAGAGGCAGGGTTGTTCACCTTTTGTAATCAAGATAGCTCTCTTTGAAACTGTAATTTTTCTAATTTCTATTTGATCGTTTCGGCTGTAAATAGTCTCGACGCTGCCACTCTCTCATTTGTGACAGTCATGGATTGAAGTCAAACCATTTTATATGATTTTCAGAAGTCTCCTTCCTAAAGATAATGTCCAGGAGCAGGAGTAGCACCTTAGGAAATATTAGCTTTGTGGTTACATCTTGTATATTTCTTATAAGTGCCTTACATAAACTTTTCTTTTTTTTAGGAAGGGGACTGCTTTGTCAGCCAGTAAATGCGGTCTGGGCTGGACATAATTTCCAGGCAAGTAAACGAGCATTGTCATGTTGTGCCCCCTGTCCACAGTGATGTGCCCCCCATCTACAGTGAGTAATTGTGCTGCTGCAGCCAACGGTGCACTGGTAGGAAGGGGAACCCTCTGTTGAGCAGGAGGAAGACGAAGTAACGAGGACCCGAGTAAAGCGCTCAAGCTGTTGAATGCAGCTGCATGTATTTGGTGTCGTAAAAGGGCACTTTAGGGCTTGGGCGACTTCCTGTTAAATGTCTATTGAGCATTACAGGTCGGTACCCATTGTCTTCTCATAAATGAATGACCATGATGCCTGGGAGCACCACATCAGTGTTAGCAATGCTGCAAGCGAGTGGACTAACAGCAGAAAGCATCTCTTCCCGCTGACGTGACTGCAGAAATTTGCTTTTATGGCCTACTGTCGTCTGAATGTGGAAGGCCGCTCATCGCTCTTCCACCTGTGCAACCATGTCTCAGAGCTGCAGTTGCTTCACTGATTGAAAAGTTGTGGCTGCCCAAGTCTGCATGCGACAAACTGTTCCAGAGATCGGTATGGCATGTTTCAGTATGGCTAGACATTCTACCTGTTCATAAAAACGTATGCCAGACTGTTTCAAGACAACTGTGACACCCTGATCGTTTGTCGAGTTCAGCGACAACCATCAGTTCGTTACTGTACTCTTCAGTGCCGTGTTTATTTGGCTGCTCGAACATCTTTATCTACGGCAGTAAATGCTCGCACCATTGCAATTGTTAATAGGAAGTCATTTATGACCCGAGCCGTTTTTGTTACGACCATGGCCCTCCTCTCGTGTCCTCGTCACATTGTTTTTCTTCTGCACCACACATCTATGAAGCTTGTGACGCACTAGTTTGCATTCACAAGCTGACGACTCGCACAACGTCTAAACTTGGAAATATATAAGCACCCTGGGAAGGCTGTTTAGTGACTATGAAAATTTGCATAAACTTGAAAACCTGATGACTGAATTAAGGTGGTTGGTTGGGTGAGTTGGTAATGATTGAACATGGTTAAATTTGTGCACAAATAGAAAGGAACAGAGGAGAGAGAAGAGACAAGCACAAACTCACAATTCGATGTATTGAAGGAAGAAAAAAGAACAGCCTCCAGTAACAGCTCGAGTCGAGGCCGGAAGAAAAAAGAACAGCCTGCAGTAACAGCTCGAGCCGAGGCCGGTGTGACCTCGGCTTGAGCTGTTTCTGCAGGCTGTGCTTGTCTCTTCTCTCTCCTCTGTTCCTTTCTACGGTATTTGTGCACAATTTTAAACTGACGACTGAAATGCACTCAATGTGGACCACTGGGAGATAATTTGTTCACCGGCACAGTTGTTTCCTAGATATAAGCACAAGCTTGCGCTCCTTCCATTTTCCTCAACTGCCAAATGTATGTGCAGCATTTGCTGTGTAGGCTATACGAGGTTGGTGAGAATGATTTTTGTTTTATAATTTAGCATCTCAGCTCTCTGTAAACAAAACTTGGAGTCTTTCAGGGCCTCTAGATACGCAGCGCCACCTCCAGAAAATTATTTTGTGTTTGCCCGTCAGTGCCGCATGTTGGGATATGTATCTAAATAAGCAGCTTTGGTCTGTATGTTTGTTTGTCAAGAGCTTGAGCCATTCCCTATTTGCAGGTTTTATGTCGGCAGTGTTTCATGATCACAAGACAAACAAGGAGGCTAAAGGCTCGTTCACACTCTTGCAACCGAGTACGACCGAGAGAGACCAGACCGGTTTTCTTAGAACCGGATGCGCTGCAGCGGGGCTGGTCCTAAGAGATCGCAAGAGGATTAAAAACCGGTCTGGTCTCTCTCGGTCGTACTCGGTTGCAAGAGTGTGAACGGGCCTTGATGCACAAGTTGCAGCCATTCAAATTCTTTTATTTCGGAAGTGGGAGAGCAGTATTGAGGCTCATGCATTTCTGAGGGTGCAGCGAGTAATGAAACGGAAACAGAGGAAGCAATACGTTCCACCATAGTTTTAGCACAGGGTTCACATTAGTTCTAAAGACAATCAAGAAAAGAGAACGGGTATTTTCATTGGGGAAAGAAACACGCAGGGCACAGCATTCACAAGACATGCCACTTAGAAATGCAAGAATCAAAGAGAAAATAACTTGTAAAATAATGAAAAAAAAGCATGATCCCTTAATGATTTAGAAGATCACGAAAATGCAAACAAGACGAGGATGGAGGGAGGTGTACACATGAAATGGATGGTCGCTTTGCATACTCCAGCTTCATCTTTATCTTATTTCCACTGCTTCAGGTTTAGGTCATTATGCCCAAGCAAAGCATAAATCATATCATATTTATCTTCAATTTAGTCATAAACATCAGTTAGACAAAGCATTTCAGTTAGGAAATTTAAAAATGACTGATTGTGATTAATGAACTGTGGCTCACTATGTGCTCAAAAGTTTGAAAATGTGCACTCCGTGCAACATACGTATTATCCCCATTTCATTGGTGCCACGAGGAAGGGGGGTCCTATACAGTAGCACTCTGGCTTTAGTCTGCTTGTTTTTCTACCCCTTTCAGGTGGCAGTTGCACTGATCTTCTCAACATCGCCCCCTGGCTCGCACGACTGGCAGAGCAGCAAGGATGGCTCGTTCTCCCTAGGTTATGTGATGCTGTGCACGGAGTGATAATTTTAACTACCCGACGAGTATGGTGCCTGGAGCAAGTCTTCGACTGGTGTGTTTAGCGTCCTTTGCTGCCCGTACATCAAAAGTGGTCCGAAAGTGGCAACAAATGACGTCACGGAAGCCGAAGTGTCACGCTGTTGCATGTTGCGATCCTGGCGGTTGGCCATTCAAACGTTAAAGAGCAGCTGCGAGTACCACGAGGCGAACGCGAGTGTCGCTGTCGTCACGGCATCCCAACTACTGGATGCTGAAGCTTCAGTGGACTGTCGAACTGTAGAGCGACCTGCAGTAGAACAGGCATCTGCCACATCAACCACCGCTGCTGGGACACCGCCAGGATTGCGACCGGCGACATCATGACACTTGTATGATGCACCGGGCAGAAATTGAGGGATTACTTCTTTGGACATAGTAGACACACCAGTCGGAGATGCATTCCAGGCACCATACCTATCTATACAGTGCCACTCTGGCTTCAGTTTGCTTGTTTTTCTACCCCTTTCAGCAGATGGCAGTTGCACTGATCTTCTCAACATTATCCCCTGGCTGGTATGACTGGCAGAGCAGCAAGGATGGCTCGTTTTCCCTTGGTTACGTGATGCTGCGCACGGAGTGATGATTTCAACTACCCAATGAGGCATGGGGATCGTATTTTTCTTTCAGCAGTGTTGAGAGTCTTTATCTGGGTGGTGTCGTACCTGAATGAGTTAATAAATGTTACGAGTCAGAGAGACAATATATGATGTTTTCAAGAATTTGGCAAATTATCCCAACATCTTCATTATGGAGGTTGCATCCAGATAATATGTGCATGGGTGTGAAGTTTAGTGTGAGTGAACGATCATAAAAAAGGTCAACTCATTTTGTCTTGCCTTTATTGCACTGGAAGAATTGTGATGTATTTTTTTTTTCACGAGGCAATAATATTTTGATTGTGGAGTGGACACAAAAGTGTTGTGCCCTCGAATCGAGCTTGGTGCAAACCTGTGCATAGTAATAAATCTTTTGGAGCAAAAAAAAAAATTAAACCGGTGGCTATTGTTTCATTAGATATTGTTTCGGGGAGAGTTGGTAAGCACTCCTCAGCACAGTGCTAAACAATGCTTTCGGCACATCCATTCGTGAAATGTTGCAGAAGTCTTAGGAAAAGAAGGTATGCTTTCTTTCAGCAAAGCCCTTCTTCGACAAACTTCATGTAAGATGTAATTCGAGAAGTATGTTTTGTGGTGAACAGCTAGTGCACAAATACAGTAATAAAACATGTCAAAACTTGTTGGAACAAAAAATTGGTGAAGTGTGTGGCATCTGTAAAATGTAGAATCTGTACATGGGGGGGGGGAATCAGAGTGAGTTTTCAGCAGCTATATATGACCAATCTTGTTCTAAGCAGCCATTTGACCATTCAGAGAGAACTTGAAATGCATGGCAGTACCAAACTAGAAGGCATTCCTGATTTTCCATATTTATTTTACTGACGCAAGGGGCAAGCTCATACTACACGTCATTTTTTAAACAAGTAATCCAGCACAAACAACACAAAAGTGGGAATAGCTACTACAATAAAGTGGAGATTTGGGCCAGTTGGTTCATTGCAAACAAAAAGCGCCGAATAAATGAAGGGACACAGACGAAGGGAAACAGGACAAGGCGCCTTGTCCTGTTTCCCTTTGTCTGTGTCCCTGTATTTTTTCGGCGATTTTGTTTTAACAACTGCTAGTATGCATACAGAGAACGTTAGGTCAAGAGCTTGCATCAGTAAACGTGCGTGCACACCGCACATGCTTGCTCAGGTTCTTTGCGCCAGAAGCTCTGGAGGCTTGTTTATTTTCGGTAAACGGGGGAACCTACCTGGGTAGTTTATGCAGGCAACTGCTCTTAAGTTCTCATAAATGTCTGCATAATCGCCACCGGGACCCGGGCTTTTGATACACGCGTGCGTGAACCCGGTTACTCGAAGGAGGCGGAGAATTTCGGGAGCGCCGGGGAAGTGGACGAGTCCGAGCGACAGATGCCTTACGGTGAGACGCGTCACTCTCCCGATTGCACCGCGCGCCGTCCGTTGTGAAATGTTGACAGCTAGAAGCATCCTGCCAGCAAACGTCGCAGCGTGACGAGCAACTGTAGCTTGGGTATCAGCGGCAGCCGCCTGTTGTCGCCGTTCGGATCAGGCGGTCAAGTCGCGGCCGAGCAGCTCCCGCGCCGTTGCCGTTCGTTGTCGCACATCCCGGTGGGGTGCATTCGATCACGGAGGAATGGCCGCTTCTCTCGGCGAAAAATACCCGTGACCGAGGACAACACCGCAATTGCAGGACACAAATATTGAACGCGGCGATCCCATATGCGACATCACACCAGCAAGCCGCCATGTTGAAATGACTACGAAGTCGCGTTCAAGATAGGTCCAACCCAGTCTTGAAATTTGGGCACTTCAAGTTCGCTTCAAGCTCCGTTCAAGATCGGTTCAAGTTAAGGCGCGTTTATGAAGCGCGCTTGCTCGTCGCAAGACGGACTTGAGCAAGTTGAAGCTCGACTTCAGAGCAAGTCACATCTATGAATTCGGGGGTTAGAGTAAATTTGTTTTCACTCCGCATGTCACTTACGCATCGACCTTACCGGCCGATATAAACTTTAGCGTAAGGCAATAGAACAACAAGGAATTTGAATAATTCGCTCGGTGGCTTAATATGGGCCTGAACTGGCATCTCTTTTATTTGAAGGTTCCCCAAAGGGATTGACGATGTTGCATTTTTTTTTGTTTGTTTCAGGAGCTTTACATGTTTCCAATAATATTACGGTTGTAAGTATCGCTCGTTGTACACTTATCTTCTATATGTCCGCGTTTTATGGACTTGAAACCTCACAAGAGACATGCATTGATAAAAAGACGTAGTAGTCACAATTGGCAAAATATTGACGAATGTAAAATGTTTCAGAAATAGGTTGCAACGGGAGACGATAGAACAGTAACTATGGCAAGAGGATTGAATGAAGTTCAGTTTATTTCAGTCATCCCGTTTACACGTATGTCGATAAAACTGGAAGGAACGGCAACAGAGGTCAGAGGGACATTTGGCGAGCGGGCAGGCAATAGGACAATTAATATCTATGAATAAATGGTTAGGTAGAATGTCAGTGATTACTCCTATAGTTCGGATATGTCCACTAAGAAACGAATATGAAAGAGCATATCGAGCCATTAAATAGTTACATTACAGCACGCGCAGCTAGCCAAGTAGGTAGCGCGCTGGCCGAATGGTCATCGGGCTTGTCTCCCGCGCAAATGGCCGAAGTTCGATACGAGGAAGGCCGCTTAATTAAGATGGGCAAGTAGGCCTAATCAAGACGAGCCAACGATATGCGTTCGCCCTCGATCAGATATAGCCGGCTTCTCTCCATACCGTATTTTTGTTTCAATACATCCCCCGATACCTGGGAGCGGACGCGCCTTTTTGTTACTTCTGTAAATGTCGCGTTCTGGTGTATTCGAGACTTTTGCTGCTTATTCGTAGCCTGAATATTCTACGCGCCGAACATTCCACGCCGATGCCCACGCGTGTACATAAAAAGCTCCTCGTAGTGAACAGGGGTCACACTTTTACTTGCTCTCGATCTTACTCTTAAGCTGTCATCGGCGCCTCGGACCTTTGGGATTCGCCTTTCATTCTTTTTTTTTTCTTTTTTTTTAGCACAAGTTCGACATATTTAACGTTTATTTTATCTAGTTATTCGCAGCCTCATCATTTGTCATTCGTGACAATATCTAACAAACTAAACGCACGCGCAGTGGACAGGACGAGCATTTAAGTTATAAAGGACACATACTGTTTCAAATCTGTGAGATGCGCCTTTTATTTAAAGGCAAAATACCGAGACATTATTTGTGTTAGTAACATAGAAAACATGCTCTTCACATTCCCCATTGGGCCACTCAAAAATGTTGGAAAAAATCAGCTCTAAACCGGGCATAATAGAAATGCGTAGAAAATGCTGCAGGATCATTAGGTTGATATTTGACGGATCCTAGGCTGGACGCTACGAAAACCAAACCCTGGGCATTGTAGGGTTGAATATAGATGACGCCATCCTGTGTCTTACCACTTAGCGCCAGGGTCAACGTCGTTAATGAGTTTGCCTGGTCGAAAGATCTGCACTTGACGGTGTGTTATGTTCGAACGCACTTTGCATTGCACGATATGAAGAAAGAATCTTTACGGATTTAATTACCAGCGAGATCGCACATGCTAATAACAATAAAAGGGACGGTCCGCCTCTACAACGCCTCCCGAATGAGCTGCAATTGTACCGACACTTTATTACAAGAGTTTTCATTATTCACGATAAGCGCACACTGATAGAAATGCCTATATTCCAGAATTCTGAAGGAAAGTTCACTTTGCAATTTACCCTCAGAAAACTTCACTTTGAGGTTTACTAGCTAAAGAATCAAAATTCGCCTTTTTGAAAATTGCATTCCTATTCAATTTCAGAGAACTCCTTTTAGGTGCATGAGTCCAGGTCCCTTATACGTCACCTCGGGATATCGACCTCACTTGTACCTGGCGTCTGATATACAAGATTCTGCATCAAGGTCGAAAGACGATTACGTCGTATAATACTGTATAGTTTTTGTGCCCGCTGCAGAATATCGCAAATTCATAAGGCCATTTCTGTCAAACCCTTAAAGTGACCAGCTGAAAAAAAAAATCGTGGTAGCTTCAACGAGCTCGCGCGGAAGAGAGAACGAACGGAAATCGGCTTGATTGTTGCTGCAGTGGGATTCTTTTTAGTCTGGGGATAACAGAACGCACTGGAGGTTTTCTTGCCAAGAGGGTTTTGAATTGAAACGAAACCAACGGTTCGGCGTTTTTCTCAAAATGGAAACACGGCGGAATAATAGCGCTCGTGCTCTCCATAGAATGCTCCTAACACGATCCTCATTAAATAGGAAAACAGGTCGACTTGGAGACAAATAGGCGCGATCGATCCGTCGGGAACAGAGCAGCCCTTCACCGTGTGTTTGCTTTGCGACAGGCTCCGCGGAAACCCTCCGAAGGTCTTTTTTTTTTTTTTTTTTGTCATCTTTGGAGCTTAGAT